GCAGGGGTCGCGGGGCCCATTACTGTAATGACGCCATCGGCAGCCGCTGCTGGGCGGGCGGTGGGCGGTGGGCGGAAGCTGTTCCCGTGTGATCACCGCTAATGCACATTTGGCCCATCCTTCTCTCCCCTGCAGTCCGAGTACCACTATGAGTACACTGCGTGTGACAGCACGGGTTCCAGGTGGAGGGTCGCGGTGCCGCACACCCCAGGCCTCTGCACCAGCCTCCCTGACCCCGTCAAGGGCACCGAGTGCTGTAAGTAGCCACCCTGCTCCAGGGCCCTCCTGCCACTTCGCTTGGACCTCTGCGCCAAGCCTCCTGCCATCCAAACCAGGCCCTTCCTGATAGAGCAGCTGCCTTAAGGACATTACTCATGCACACCAATTAGATCTTGCTGCAGTCAGAATCCATCTCCGAACCTTCTTAATTTTGATGTAGAAATATTATTTCATGGGCACCAACTGGGTATCTGAATTCGCTTTCATTAAAACAAAACGTAAATCCCATCAGTGGATGCAGTGTAAGTGATTCCAGCTGTATGCCCTGATGATTTTTTTTTTCCTGTTTGAATACATTTTCTTTTTTGCTTTTCCATTTCTCTTCAGTCCATGTTCACCAGCCACAATCAGTCACTAGGAAAGATTGCAATTTGCTTTCATTCTTAAAAAGGAAGCCGGAGAAGAATTTCTGCCGAGACAGACCTTTAAAATGCACTGGGCATCACTTCAGGGGACAAGAATCTTCTTGACTGGATCTGACTGTGCAATCGGAAATGCAGTGACATGCCACAGCCCCTGTCCCTGCCTCTGTGACTCTGTAGTCACAGTTGTTCTACAGTTGGCAGCTCTGTCCCCCACACTGTTCTTTGGGGAATGCAAAGGGAATAACAAAAATAAATAAGTAAATAAAATCAAGGATTAGAATTAAAAAATTATTTGAAGAGTTGAAAAGGAGATGGAGAACATTTAAACTCTAAAACCAGTTTTGCACAGTGCTTGGCTCAGTAGGTGAGCAAATAAAGACTTGTTAAATTATTGAATGGATATTACTGAGACCTGAGTTGGGACTAATGGAAACAAGTGAACTATCCTGGGTTAATTGCTGACGTTCACAAACCCCTATTACGCGTAAGCACTAGCGTGTGTATGTGCTGTGTGACCCTCAAAGATGAATAAGGTGCCACTCTGCCTTCAGAAGCTTACAGCATGGTGGAAAGAGCATTCATTCATCCATCCACTCATTGTTTCAGTGAACCGTTGGAGTTCCTGCCATGTCTGTGACAGTCACTGAGCAGCCGTCCCTGGAGGACCTCAGAGCCTAGTGGGTGGCAGACACGAGGTGGTAACAGTGTGAGAAAGAATGGGAGTCATGGATGCTTTGGGATCAGGAACAGCTGGGAGGACCACTTGAGCAGAAGTCTGGAGGCGGAAGAATATCAGTGCATTCAGGGAAAGCCTGTGGTCCAGGGTGGAGGCAGCACCGAGAAGACAGATGGGGTAGAGGTGGAGAAAGATCTGTGGTGGGAGGGCAGGCTGGAAAGTCAGGTCGGAGGGACACTGCAGAAGTGTCCCTGTTGAATGCCAGATGGACAGCTTAATTTTATAGCCAAAAGGGAGTACCCAACTATATTTTAAATAAGGAGAAAATAGTACGCATCAGTATTTCAGAAAGATAGCTCTGACCACACATAGAATGAGCAAAAATAAGAAATAGGGAACCAGTGGGGCTAGCAGGTGGCATGGTGGTTAGGGGCGCTGGACTCCTACATGGCCGACTGCAGTTCAAGTCCCGGACCTGGTGGCTTGCTTTCTCACTTTCCTTCTCTCTCTTTCTCTCTCTCATTCTGTCCCTCTCTGGTCAAATAAAAATAAACAAACAAATAAATAAAGTTAAATAAACTAATTCTTTAAAAAAAAATAGAAATAGGGAACCCTTAAGAGGGTATTGCAATGAATGATTAACAGGTCACAAGAATCCCAGCTAGCGTGATGGCAGTAGAACCAGAAAGGAGCAGACAGAAGCTACAAACTTGAAGGGAAAATTCAAGATTGAAGAATCAAGCATCATTCAGAGGGGTCGGCTTGAAAACCCATGGCTCCCTCTTCTCTAGAGAGCAATTGGTGTGGCCAAGGCACCTCCCATCAGAAACATGTCCCAGAGCAAGGCCTTACTTTTTCTTTTTTTTTTTTTTAAAAGAATCACTTTGGACCAGCCAATGCATGGTGGTTAGTGAGGCTGGATCCACGTGGCTGACTGCATGGTTTGAATCTCAGGCCTAGTGGCTTGAAAAATATGCCAGGTGCATGTGCCTGCATGCCCAGAATATCAAGAGGAGAATGGATCCTCTTTTCCAGCTGGAACCATGGAGGGCATTCAAGAGAAGAAAAGGAAGGTTCTTCCTGTGGCAGAAATCAAGAAGAAGGCTCCTGCTGTGGCGGAAGCCACCAAGAAAAAGGTGCCTGCTATGCCAGAAACCCTTAAGGAAAAGCGAAGGAATTTTGCAGAACTGAAGATAAAGCATCTGAGAAAGAAGTTTGCTCAAAAGATGCTTAGAAAGGCAAGGAGGAAGCTTATCTATGAAAAAGCTAAGCACTATCATAAGGAATATAGGCAGATGTACAGAACTGAGATTCGCATGGCCAGGATGGCAAGGAAAGCTGGCAACTTCTATGTACCTGCAGAACCCAAATTGATGTTTGTCATCAGGATCAGAGGTATCCATGGAGTGAGCCCAAAGGTTCTAAAGGTGTTGCAGCGTCTTCGTCTTCGCCAGATCTTCAATGGCACCTTTGTTAAGCTCAACAAGGCCTCAATTAACATGCTGGGAATTCTGGAACCATATATTGCATGGGGGTACCCGAACGTGAAGTCAGTAAATGAACTGATCTACAAACATGGTTATGGCAAAATCAATAAGAAGTGAATTGCTTTGTCAGAGAACTCTGACTGCTCGATCTCTCGGTAAATTTGGCATCATCTGCATGGAGGATCTGATTCATGAAATCTATACTGTTGGAGAATGCCTCAAAGAAGCAAATATCTTCCTGTGGCCCTTCAAATTATCGAAGAAAAAGACCACCCATTTTGTAGAAGGTGGAGATGCTGTCAACAGGGAAGACCAGATCAACAGACTTATTAGAAGGACGAACTAAGGGATCATTTTTGTAATCTGATCAGTAAATAAACAGTGTTATTAGACTGAAAAAAAAAGAAAAAAGAAAAGAAAGAAAAAGGAGAATGGAGAAGGGACTGTGGTGTTGTCACCTCTGCTGGGGGTGTTTTCTCACTTTCCTTCTCTGTCTCTCTCTGAGGAGCACATGTGCCTTATAGCAAACTAAAAACAAAACAAAACAAAAATAGGAATAGCTTTATCCAAATATAATTTATCTGTCATGAAGATCATTCCTTAAAGGGCAATATTCAGTGGTATTTTTTAGAATATTCATGGAGTTGCACAACCATCACTACTTTCTCATCTCAGGACATCTGAGGTTTCTGAAAACAAACTTTATTTTTAGAAAGAAACTTCATATCATTAGCAATTTCTCTCCAGCCCCTGCCCCCAGCCCCTGGCAACCACACATCCACTTTTGGTCTCTAAGGCCTTGTCTTGTCTGGACACTAGATATAAATGGAGTCTTACAATACGTGTCATGACCCTACATCTTACTGACCTGACCCTGTATTCCTCCCTTCAGGATGCCCACAGCCCGGCCACTTCTCCTGGGGTGGCAGCCACCTCACCACCCCTCCCTCATCCCTGCCCTGTTTTCCAGCCTTCTCATGCAATGCCGGGGAGTTTCTGGACATGAAGGACCAGTCATGTAAGCCATGTGCCGAGGGCCGCTACTCCCTTGGCACGGGCATTCGGTTCGACGAGTGGGATGAGCTGCCCCATGGCTTTGCCAGCCTCTCGGCCAACATGGAGATTGATGACGGCATCACTGAGTCCACTGAAAACTGCACATCGTGAGTTTGTGTCCACTCTGGGGAGAGGGCCGCAGGGCATACAGGACAGCCTCTTCTGTGGCTCCTCAGGCTGGGTAGGGGGATGGAGGGAGAGGGAACCAGGCTTCCAGGGCAGGCCCACTGGGTGTGACTCCACCTGGGGGGCTCTTAATGACCGGAGCTTACCAGTGACCGACAGGCGCTTGGGGGAGGTCAAAACATGGGGAAGTAAGAGAGGAGGGATCAAGGGACAATGGGTAGCTGGTCCGGTCTATTTACAACAAAACCCCAGTCAGCCCATGGCATGGTGGTTAAGGTGACTGGATCACATATGACAGACCGCATAGTTCGAGTCCTGGATCCAGCAGCTTGAAAAACATGCCAGGAGCCTGTGCATGCCCAAAACTCTGAAAGAAGGGAGAGATGGAGGGATTGTGACATGGCCAATCTTCAATGGGAGGTAGGGGAGTGCTTTCTCTCTTCCCTTCCTCTCTGCATCTCTCCCCTGAAAATTTTCCTGCCCACTGGAAAAATTAAAACAAAACAAAACAAAACCAATTGAATTTTGGTCATAGAGTTTTAGATCAGTCAATAAACTTCCTCAGCCTGAGTGGGATGCACCATGCCAAGCATTGGGCAACTTCCCAGCTGTGGTACTAACTTCTAAAACTGTCTCTGCCTAACCCGGGTTTCTGGTTTGAGGGAGATAGAGTAGGACCCAACCAGAGCTTTGATCAGTGGTGGCTGAGGTCCTTCAAATGCCTTGAGACTTCAGTAGCCAGAAAGGCCTAGCTCAGGAGACTTTGTTAGTCATCGAAAAGCTCAGTCCAGGGGCTTGGAGAACTGGATTATGGCAGATGCGCCTTTTGTGTGCCAGGCACGAATATGGATGCCTTGCATATATTATTTTCTATAATCCTCACAAGAGGATAGGCATTACTGCTCCTACGACAGAAGTGAGGGATTGGAGGCTCAGCAAGGTTAAGCCACCTGCCCTTTGCTGTCCTGTTTACAGCTGGCGACATTGGAACTCAAACCCAGTCCCAGCTCTCTACTGTCCCATATCGCCACTCTCAAGTAGTGCAAGGCAGTGTTGGGTCCTCAATAATAAAGGTGGGGGGAGATGCAAAGACGGGAAAAGCCATCACGCTATGTTCTTTGTTAAATGGCAGCAATGAGTGTAGGATGAAAATTTCTCTTATACCCAATCAGATGGGTTGAAAGGACGTAAGAATTGTATTACAGAGGCCAGCAGGTGGTGTGATGGTTAAGGACACCAGACTCCCACATGGTCAACCACAGTTCAAGTCCCGGACCTGGTGACTTACTTTCTCTCTCTCTCTCTCTTGCTCTGGCCCTCTCTGGTCAAATTTAAAATAAATAAATAGAATAGAATAGAATAGAATAGAATAGAATAGAATAGAATAGAATTTTATTACACTCAGGTTTCTAAAGCACTGTCTCCCACCCCTACACTTAAATCTCTTGAAGATACTATTGCTTGAGCCAAGCAGCAGCTACTTAATAGTCCATTCTTGGGGCCAGCAGATAGCCAGGTGGTTAAGGCGCTGGACTCCACATAGCCTATTGCAGATCAAATCCCAGATATGGAGGCTTGAAACTCTTGCTGGGCATGTGTGCATGCATGCCCAACATCCCAGGAGGAGAGTGGAGAAGAGATTGTGGTGTCATCATCTGGGGGATGATTTCTCACTTTCCCTCCCACTGTTTCTCTCTCTGTGTCTCTCTGGCAAGAACACTTATCCTATGGCAAAATCCAAAAATAAAGTCATTCTTACTGCTTTCTTTATTCCTTTAGTTTTGCTATAGGGCACATGTGCTTACCAGAAAGAGAAAGAGAAAGAGAGAGGGAAAGTAAAAAATCACACCCTACCCCCTTGAGGATGGCCATACCACAATCCCTTCTCCTCCATTCTCCTCTTGGAATTGTGGGCAGGCACACACATGTGCCTAGTGTGATTTCCATCCACCTTGTCTGGGACTCGAACTGCACAGTTGACCATATGGGATCCATCCTCCTCAACCACCACACTACCAGCTGGTCCCTCTTACTGTTATCTTCATGTTTGATTTTATGGATCAAGATCATGAGTACGACAACGTTTGCAGGCAGAGAAAGCTAGAGAGCATTAACACTGGAAGAAGAGGAGATTTGCAGGTTAAGACAATAATCCCGTCTGAGATCTGACGGAGAATGCCATTTGACCCTAGGTAAGGGGCAGACCAGGCTTGCTGGATCAGCTCCTACCATGCAAAGGAAGGGTTTCTCCTCTCTCTGGGGCCTGTGCTCAGAACCCCAAAATCATTATCTCTTGGTCAGACAGGATGAGGTCAGTAGTAACAATGTGCATTTCCACAGGATGGCCTGTTTCAGGGCCTGGGTCTTCAGGACTTCCCTGACATCCTCAGGAGGGAGCGAGGAGCTGTTTCTCCTCTGTGAACATGGAGAGGAGATGGCCCCCTAGAGACAGTTCATGGTTTCCCAACATCCCTCAGAAAGGCAATAATGAGCTGGTACCAAGAACCCAAGTGTCTGGCTTTTCTGTTCACTGTGTGTTTACCCAAATCCAGCTCCACAGCCTCCAACCTCACCCAAGCCGGCATCACTTCCTGCCTGTTCTGCCTTAGGAGCTGCCCAACTGGTCTCCAGCTTCCACTCCCAGCCTCTTCCAGGTCTCCAGCTTCCACGCCCAGCCTCCTCCAGGTCTCCAGCTTCCACTCCCAGCCTCCTCTAGGTCTCCAGCTTCCACTCCCAGCCTCCTCCAGGCCGCTGTCCACTCAGCTGCCAGATGGATCTCCTTAAAACACAGATCGGATCATGGTACCCTCCTGCTCAAAACCTTGGGTCCTATGGCTGCCTACTGCTCTTGGGATCCAAGCCACTATCTCCCCACAGCCTGCAGGGCTCTGAGGTCTGGCCTCCGGCCTCTGCCCTGTCCCCAGCCTCTCTCGCTGAGTTTCAGCCACCCTGGCTACCACACTCCTTCCTTCCTCAGGGCCTTTGAACACACTCTTCCCCACCTCTTACCACAGCTGACTCCTACTTAACCCTCAGGTTTCAGTCTCTCTGGCAAGCACACACAACTTAAGACCAAAACCTTTCAAAAGAGAGAGAGAGAGAAAGAGAGAGAGAGAGAAACAATTGGGAACAAAACAAACCAAAGAACAGAGTCTCCATGGCAGGATCCTGAGCGCCCATGGGATCCTCCATGGTTCCTGGGTGGATGCCCCAGGAAGAGCGAGAGCACTCACTGGAGACAGACAGAGAGAGGGGAAGGGAGTGAGTGCTCTTGCTCTGTGGAGAGAAAAAAGAAGAAAAGAAAAGAGAGGGGGAAATACAGATGTAAGCATTAAAAATTTAAAAGCTTATATAAAAATCACAGCCAACTGACCTAGGGCAAGTTTCCTAATCACTTCTATGCCTCAATTTCCCTATCCTAAAAGACAATGGTAAAAGTAGTACTCTTCTTGTAGGGCGTGGTAAGAATGCAGTGAGCTGATGCATGTAAAGAATCTAGTGCAATGCCTGCCCCTAGAAACCCTTCAAAACATGTTCTTGTTAATGAACTCGAAGTGTCTTCACCAGGTACAACTCTGACAAAAACCAGAATTTGGATGCATGTTGCAAATCTAAGCCACTTATGGCATTTTTTCAATTATTCATCAATCTTCAGAAGTTATTTATAGCTGATGCCATGGAGCTCAACAGTGTTTCATGCTGTCTCTTTTGACAAGGGGAAGCCAATGCCATTAACTTAGCTGGGGTAGTTTAGATGAACTGGGATGTTTGATATGTTCTGTTTTGAAGGTAACACTATATATTTTTTCTTTATTCATGAGAGGCACAGGTGTGAGGCAGAGAGAGAGAGAGAAAGAGGGAGAGAAGCCCTCTCTATAGGGTCTGGTCATGTTGTAATCCCCTTCCTCCAGCAGCTTGCATCTTGGTCACTTACGTGCCCTGTGTGTTTCAGGCTAACTGTGTCACAGAGCCGGCCCAACACCGACTACTGAACAACGGGGTGTTCCATGTCATTCTGTCCAATTCAGGGGATACCTGTGAACTAATCTGACTTTCCCTTAACTAGCCATAGTTAAGCACTTGGAGAGGCGAGCTTGTCTTTGGGAAAATAGTAAAATAGTGTGATAGTCTTTGATCACCAATTGTCACATTCTTCCATTTAATCCCCTGAGTTCCTCCTACAGGCCAGGCTCAGTGCTTGGTGCTGGGAATACAGAAGTGAGCGAGATAAGTCTGGTCTCTGACCTCACAGAGATTTTGCAGGCTAGCCTGGAAGACAGACAATTCAATGATGATCAGAAGAGGAAATCCAGGTTGCAAATAAGAAAAGACGCTCGGCCTCACTAGTAATCGAAGAAATACAATTTAAAACCCAACTAGACACCTGTTTTCTTTTTTTTGTGTTTTTGTTTTTGTTTTTTTTTTAAGAGGATTTTTTCGCTATAGGGCGTGTGCGCTCGCCAGACAGAGACATAGAGACAGAAAGCAAGAAATCACCCCCCAGGGGGGATGGTCACGCTGCAATCCCTTCTCCTCCATTCTCCTTTCGGGATCTTGGGCACGCACACACACGCACCCAGCGTGAGTTTTCAGCCACCGGGTCCGGGACGCAAACCGCGGTCAACTACGTGGGAGTTCAGCGACATAGCCATTACGCTAACTGCTGGTTCCCTAGACACCTGTTTTCTACCACATCATTTTCTCAACAGTTTTAAAATCCCATTCCAAGCTTGTAGAGGGTATGGAGTAATAGGAACTCTCTCACACTGCTGGTGGGTGTAGTTGATGGAGCTACTTTGTGTCCATTGGTGGGGCACATACCCTCTGACCCAGCGGTCCTGTCCCAGGCATTCCGCTCAGACGAGAATGCTGATAGAGTGTGCACAACAGCGAATGCTGGAAACAATCTGTCCCTCAGCGAGCAATGCATAAATAAATATGGTAGCATACAAAGGCTGGTATTACACAGCAGTAAACTGAAGGGAGACCAGCTGCATTCTGAGCATGGGTGAATCCTACCATCACTCCGTGGAAGCCCTCCTCACCCCCAAAGAGCAACTTTTAAAACTTGTAGGTATGCAGGATCAGCAGATGGCGTAATGGTTATGTCACTGGATTCCTATGTAGTCTACTGTGGTTTGAGTCCCAGATCCAGTTACTTAAAACTCACACCAGGCACGTATGTGTGCGTGCCCCAAATCCCAAGACGAGAATAGAAGAGAAAGGATTGCAGCGTGGCCATCTCCCCTGGGAAGTGTTTCCTCACTTTTATCTCTGTCTCTCCGGCAAGCACACATGCACTGTAGCAAAAATCTTTCTCAAAAACAACAACAAATCCTTGTAGGTATAGTATCATTTAAATAGTTCTGCAGCATGTAAAGCTCTAGCCCACGGCATCTCATCTAGAGGTGCGTACCTGTGGGAACCACGGGGGGTGGTGAGTCCCAGCTTCAGGAAAGTGGTCACTTGGTGGTGAGGAAGGGAGTCATACAGAAGTGATGAGGTTAGCCGGGTGCACAGAGGCTTCTGCTGTGCTGTGTTTCTTAGGCTGTGTGGCTGGGAGCTAACAGTTCATTACATCTTGTAACGGCCTTAAATATCTCATAGTGTATTAAAAATATTTAAAATAGAATTTAATTGTGGCTGTGGGAGGGGAAACAGAGTGAGCAAAGGGCACCATAGCAGAGGCAGATAAGGGAAGATTTCTTAGATTAAGTATCATTTACTCCAAAACACAAGTAGGGATTAAACAGTGGGAGGAGGAAGTTTGTCCTAGGAAGAGGAACAGCACGTGAAAAGTCCCAGGGGTAAGAGAAAGTTTGGCAGAGGAAGTAAAGGAAGGACTCCAGGCTGGAATATGAAGAGTAGGCCAGGAATTCATACTCTATGCAAGGGAAGTCGAGTCAGCCACAGGGGGGTGACGTGGCCAGATTTCTGTTGTAGAGGATCTCTGTCCACAGCGTGGAAAGTGACAGGAGCATACAGGACTGACTGTAGGGAGACGAGTTTGGAGACATGTTAGAAGACAAGGGACCAGCAGTTAACGTAATGGCTAGGTTGCTGGACTCTCATGTAGTAGACCGTGTTTTGAGTCTGGATGGACCTGGTGGCTTAAACTCACGCCGGGCGTGTGTGCATGTGTGCCCAAGATCCCGAGAGGAGAATGGAGGAGAAGGGATTGTGGCATGGCCGTCCT